ATGATGAAGATACTCTTTATAAACTATGTATTGCATCAAGTAAAATTCGCACTGAAGCGTTGATAGTTCATCGCTTTTGCATTAAGTTATAAATTATATTTTTACGTAAATACGTTGATAAACTATTACTATGGTGAACGGGAATCCTACTAACTGACGCATTTCGTCAATTTGCTCTCAGTCTCTAACAGCCACAGTCGAAGACATCAACAAATAACTTTTTATAGCGAATTATTGCGAAACTGGGAAATTGTGATGGCAAACGAAACGAGTCACTTCATAAGTGTTTAATTAAATTGCAGTCTTTAGGTGCAGTCTTGTAACGGGAAAGAAAGAAAGAAATAAATTTACAGAAAAATCATTAGAATAATTGGGAAAAACAAAGAGCAAAACATATGTGCAGAATCAACAATTATATACATAGGAATAAAATATAATTATATCAATACATTTCGATTATCGTGTCTTCTTGTCTTCTAAAAATAGTTAAACAATCTTTAAAAGGAAACGAAGCATGAATATATTTCCTGTTAGTAATGACTTATTAAGTTTTCTAATAAGAAAGAAACAAAGGCACAACTTTCCGTGACGTTATTATAAAAGCTTCGAAAATAAGAATACGCCAGTCATCTGTCGCTCATAAATTATTTAGCTACCAAAATTAGCTGAACTTATTATAATAACGCTAGCAAAGTTAGCTGGAACCCGGTATGACGAATAACATACCTAATGCGAATATTATGCGCTACCGGCGTAACATATTCTTAAATGGTACCTCTACAGCATCAAAGGTGAATCAAGAAGACTAAACGACGACCTCCCTGGCCGAGTGGTTTGTACGCCGGGTTTCATAGTGTCGCCGCGCCGACTCGAGAGGTCCCGGGTTCGAATCCCGGTGGGGGCAGATGTTTGTGTGATGAATACGAGCATTTGTACTCCAGTCATGGATGTTTAATATGTATTTCTATATAAATATACTTATATATGTACAGTATTTGTATTCTATCCGTTACCCCTAGCATCCCATAACACAAGCCTTACAGTGCTTACTTTGGAGCTAGGCTAATTGGTGTGAGTGTTGGTAATATAAAATATAAATAACTAGAGGTCGCCCGCGACTTCTTCTGCGTTAACTTAGTTTCTTGAAAATCCCTCTGGAACCTAACATTTTTTCGGGATAAAAGTACCCTGTGTGTTAATCTAGGGTGTCAGCTAACTCCATACCAAAATTTATTAAAATCGCTCCAGCCGTTTAGACGTGAAGAAGTAACAAACGTACACACACACATACACACTCACAAACTTTCGCCTTTATAATATTAGTGCGATAATAACACTAAAATCATGTTTAAAATAGCTTTGAGTTCCTCAGGTATTATTAATGAGGGATTAAATGTTTGTTATTCAATACCAAAAGAACTGTAAAACGAATTTGAATAAAAATGTGAGTATCCTGCGAAAATGTTACGATACTATGAAATTATGAGATTATTATAAAAAGAATATAAGCTCATCCATGCACATACTCGTTGATGATTGGTGTATTTCATAGCGTTTTAACTTGACAAATCATTATAGAATTTTTATTGCCATCAAAAGTCTTCTTATGTCTAAATATACTGCTAATACTTTCGTGATAAGGTCTTGTACTGATTATAACAATAGGTTCACATCAATCGACATATTTAACTGTTCACTCAAAAATTGTAAAAAATATATCCACGATATGGTAGATTGTTCTTAATTATTAATAATTGTAACCAACAACACTTTTTTTTTATTGGTAGAAACATTAACTTTTTTTATTCTCAATTTTAACTACCTGAACTCCTTCATATGTTTTATATTATAGTGGAAACTTTATTGATGTAAGTTTGTTAATTAGATCTAGGTATAAGTATTAATTCATTGTTTGTTTCCCAAATAAAGAAAAATAAAAAAATCTCAGGATTTTATTAAATCCAAAATGAACTTGGTTGAAGTTACGGCTGTCTGAAGCAACTGCTACTATTAGCGTTAAAACTTCAGTACCTGCTATTTCGCATCCTTTCTGTGGGCGAAACTTACATTGAAGTTGATGATGCCTTTTACAAGCCAGAAACAACATTCAAAGAAGCTAAGGATCAGTCGAGATGTGACGTGGCAAATACTTTTTATGATAGCTATGTAAAATAAAGCTTAATTTACTAGACAAAAACATTTCATTACGCTGTTTGGCGTAACGTGATGCTGCAGGGCTAATACTTTGAAAGAAATGTGTATCTTTTTTGTGTGTAGTAATTACAGATTTATTTTATATCACTATCTTTAAAAAAATCCAATCCGTGCAGAGTCGCGTCTCAATATGAACTGACCCTTAATGTCTTGTGGATGCACCCAGAGACGCCGGTTAAAAAATCAAAAGTTTCTAAGTAACTTCTTATCTTAATCCTCTATGGATTTTTTATTTTATTACTAATACAGAGCAAAGTCAATTTTAATCAGTTTAAAAGAGTCTTGATATCTGTGAGATAGAATTTCAAAAGTATTTCTTAGACGTAAAACTGCTTTCAGATTTAAATATATTCTTTATAAGATATTTAAATTATACCTTGCGCAAAGTGGAAAGGATATCAGAAAATTTTGTCCCTCCATGTAGTTTTGTAGTATCTTTTGTAGGGTTATGACGTTTAAGGTCGAGTTCTGTATTGATCTTTTTCTAGTTACGACCACTTCTGAATTCGATCACTTCTTGTAAAGTCTAGTTCTTGTATGGACCGTTTCTGCTTTTGCTCACTTCCGTATTTGACGACCTTTATTACGTCGTGCAAATTTAAGCAACTGTCTTTTATGTCTTCGTGTGAACGTAGCGTAACTCGACAAGATATAACCATTAAGATAAAAACAACTGTAATACTCCTGTTATAATAATTATTATCATCGCATCAGTAACATAATTTTATAGATTACCAGCTGTCCCAGCGAACTTTATACTACCATAACAAATATCGGTTGGTGGTAGAAGGGTAAAAATTTTAGGTTGTTTGTATTTTTGTATGATGTATCATAAAAAAATAAAAACAAAAAATTTTGTCCAAAAAATCATTTAAAGGTTTGGTAAACCCTTACCATTTAGGGGGATGAAAAATAGATGTTGGCCGATTCCCAGACCTACTGAATATGCATATAAAATTTCACGAAAATCAGTTTTCGCCGTTTCGGAGTAGTTCATTAATTGAACTACTGGCCCACCGTGCCACGAGAATTTTATATATTAGATTATACAGTTTTTTCTACATATATTTTAATTAACCTTTTGCAAATTGTGCTGAAAGCAGACGAAAAACGAAATGGTCGAATTCAGAAATAGTTATATTACGGGATAGTCTTAAAATAACTGGTCAAACCAGAATTGGTCGTATACAAAGGAATTCATACCAAAAGTGGTCTCCAAACGTAAAACCCTAAAGGTAAGATGATTTGTCGGCAAAGTTGTATTATGTCGATTAGTCCTGCACGAAAACAAACTTTGTAACAGAATCGGTTTGAATAAAAAAATACTCACAAATATACCTATTATTGCAATACTTCTTTACTGAGTTAGTGAAATCTTAAGTACCTGCTCACAAAGAAAGCAAAGGGATTGACATATTATTTCTTAGCTTATCTATTTGTCTAGTAGTAAAAAATCGAAGATTCATGGTGAGAAAAAGAAGAACAGGAGACATTTGTGAAAAACAGGGGATCTCCTGTAAAATAGAGAGACCTGGCAACCATGGGCGTCTCAATATTTCTGTTAGCGACAGATTATTTCTAACCTTCGAAAGCATAAGTAACAGACATCAAAATATCAGTATAGAGGAATAAAGTGGCTCAAAATAAAAGTGACGTTGTGGTTATTCATAAAATTTATTCGAGTGGTATGATGTAAAGAGACTAGACTTGAGATAAAAAATACAGTAAATACGACAGAATGGATCTTTGAGTTAGTTCTCGATCATAGCGAAACAGTTGATCGAAATTAGATGCGTTCATAGGCTGAATTTATACAATGAAAAGTCTAGTGGGTTGTAGCTTAGGTGTTGGAACTGAGCTACGTTAAAGAATAAAAGGAAACCTTTGCCTAGTAGTGGTAGAGTCAAAATAATCCAGTAGACCAAGGCAAAAGATCTTATTATCTTTTATAACCCTACTCCTGAGGCAAAAATCTTCCCTAACTAAATAGAGTTCATCGGCTATGCTTTACCATGTAGGCCCTGTGCAGATTGGGCCTGAACCAACGACTAAACGTGTCTTATGAAGTACTTAAGTGACCTAAGCACTTGAGATAATAATTTTTTTGGTACCCATCTTCTGACTTACTATGGGGAAAGTTCCTTAACTTCCACGACCACAGGTCTGTGCCATCATGCCCTACTTGCTACATTTCAATATGTTATAGTCAAAAGATATGTATCTTTTACCTTCTGTACATCTATCAATCACTGCATCCCGTCAGTAGGAAACTCTGTACGTAGCCCTTCTTAAAACAAAACAGACGGGTATTTTTTATATGGTAGAAGAGAAGTGGTCTCGTCGTATTCATGTATCCTTTCCTTGTTTGGGAAATGTCTTTATGCATCCTTCAGTCACCAGGGGTAAAAGAAGATATCTGCAGACTCTTTCCTACTCATTTCATCCAGGTCGAGGGCTCGGTGAAATGAGCAGGGCCATGCCCAGTAAAAACCAGACAATACCCCTGCACCGGTCACCTGACCGCTGAGAGTGTGAGTGTAATCGTGGCACCCAGTTAAGACTGCCTTCGTACCTGCATTGATCACGAGGCCTGTGAAATGTTATGGACTCTTTTATCACAAACTTTATAACTCAAAATGATCTTCACACAGTGGACTGGTAACCAGTTTTAATGCCATCAACATGGTAGGATAATCAAAGCATGGTACTTACGCCACAGTCATTTCGTTTTTATTATTTCAAAAAACTAGAGGTATGCTAATAATAATACGAAAAGCATAAAAAATCCTTTCTTTTATTTTCAAAACAACCTGTACTTGAGAAGTACAATAAAATTTTACCTAGCGTCGTTTCATTAACAATGAAAAATTACAAGGTTTCTTCACTAGTTTACATTCGTTATTTCGCATCGCATCCAACGCCTCATTCAATAACAAAACAAAATATAAAAATTAAAATTGATAACACTAAAATTAACATTAACATAATATAGACAAAGAAAGCACTATCACAGATACACCGCTTATACTAAGCCACTTTCTAAGTGATTTTTGTAACTTTTAAACTTAAATTTTTCATACTCTTTGCTTTGTCCTTCTTGAAATAAAAGGAGGAGCTAGCGTACAAAACTATATAATTACGCATTTGGTCAAACTACTTTTTTTACAAATAATTTTCAATCAAAACTGCCTAAAACAGTGTTTAAATTACTAAATTTATAAATTAAAAACCCTGCCAGTAGAAAGATATTGGGCATTCTAACTCACTTTCGTTCGGTCGAACCCGCGACCTCACTCGTGAGTTAGAATCCCCAAAATCTTAAATGAAAATACAAATAGATGCAAGCGATTTACAACGTAATACAATCGCTGTCGGTGTTGGTCGATCATACCAACTAGTGAACAACTTATCAAGTTTAAATGTTACAGTACTTTGTACCTTCTTACTCTAAGCTCAATTTTATACAGCTCCTGTAAAATTTAATTTTGTGTAATTATACCGTTTTGATCGCCAGCTCCTCAAAGGTAATTGTAAGTTTTCGGCGGATTCTAAAATCTTCGGTCGTCTTCAAAGTTGCAAACCTCTTTACTTGCCTTATGCACTTGGATAGTGGATAGTCTCACAAGAGTTATGAGTATATTGGATCGGGAGTGCATAAAATGGCTAGGCGCCAGCAGGGCTTATGCACAAGTTTGTGTTCAGCCATTTAGTTCACCTCACATAAACATGGTTTAATAGTATTATCTTACTTTAAAAAATACTTTAAGTTAATCTATAAAACTGTATTTTAATAAAGTCAATCAATTGGTTGATTGCTTAACTTCTTATATTGTTTAGGAGTTGTAGACGCGACGTAAGTTTGAGAGGTAGATAAACATTAAGACTTATTGTGACTCCATAAGGTTAAATTCTTTAATTTCATTGAATAAGGCATGACCTTAGTCAGTTAAAAGAAGAAACAGAATTGCAATAGTCAGTTTTGTAGAAATATAATGGCATATTCAGTCAGTCTGTAAAAAATGTCTTGTGGCTTAGTATTAACGTTTGTTTTTACAAAATGTAATTTTTATAACAAAACAATTCTTTGAATTCATTTTTCTATCCCAAAAGTAATGTTTTAAAGATATTTTAAATAAATGTATTAATTTTGGTTATTACATAAATGCATCACTTCATTTATTATGTATTTAGAACTTATATTAATGTAACTAAACCTGAACAGCCCAACACACCATCAGCATTAAAAGAGCCGGACATTAATGGCTCAGCTCCGGTGAAAAATCGTCTAGTGGGCATGAGCCGTGATTCCCTTCAACTGTTTAGTTATAATGTTCATCCAATGAGAAGAAATTTCCAATACGGGCGTAGAAAATCTTAAAAAAAAATCGTTACCAGTTCAATAGTACATTGTGTTCCTTGCAGGAATGGTAAGATACCGCACGTCGCACATACACACAAAAAAGTGTACCTAATAACAATCATTGACAGTAGGTTCCGCGTCAAATCCAATCTGATTACGTTATATTGATTGGTGGAAGTGGAAAAAAATATAAAAATAATATTTTCAGCCACACATCATGACTATTTAACGCGTTTGGTATACGGGGCTCTTTATATGAATGTTGATTTAATATTATGTGGTACTTAAAACTATAACTTCGATAAACAAGCAAGAATTAAATCCTCGATTTGTTAGTAATAAACAAATAATAGCAATTCATACCATATAATTCATTGACTCACAGATATGGTAGAAAATAGTTTAAGAGTAGCTAACTTGACTTCGATAAAATACATTTTATTACATTTAGCTTCAACTATTTTGTATCTTATACATAGCCAAAGAGGAACAATATCTAAAAACAAAATTTTATTTTTATAACCTCTATAATTTATACTTTTTTAGTTAGAATATCATTTAAATTACATAACAAACTGATAATTAATAATTGACATACAATATTAAATGTAACAGAAATTTAATTAACAAAAGAAAAATTAGTAAAATGACAGTTAAGTTCAATGAAAGTCTTGTAAACACGGCAAAATATATACAATAACTCTCAATAAAACTTAATAAATTCACGCACACGACACTTTTACACTTTTCAGGCATTTTTCCATCCAACACGTTACCTTATAACTCCGATCTATTCTAAAATTATATTTCTGTAATAAAGTTAATTAAACCATGTAACTAATCTGTTCGACAATTACGGAAATGTGAAGTAGGTACTCAAAGAACCTATAAAAAGGTTTTAAAGATCATGATTAACTGTTTAAATAAACATAAAAATCAACAGCACTCTAACGGAATTGAAAGAGCGAGTACTATAATGGGTTTTATTGTGAATCTATTTTATTTATACTCTATGTGGAAATATATTTACATTAGTAACACAGAATACAAATCGAAATTTCGTTTCCTTTATATAATTACTTCTAAGTAGAACCTCCTAATTTATTAGCAGCAAGCAACACATTTAAGGGAGCCTAGCTTTAAAAATGGGAGTTTACAATAAATTCTTAACACGATGTTTCGAACGATTTCTAAAACGTTGTTCAATAATGATGCATATTATATAAACAATAGTAATGAAATTATATTATTTGTTATCAGTACAACAGGAAAAGGCAGAGTGCAGGCGTGCCAGAAAAGTTGCAGTTCCACGTGAGTTTGATGGAATCATAGTCACCTCCAAAATATTACGCTGCCGCCACTTTCAACAATCTTTGGCATGATGATTATAAATTCGAACCATGAAAACAACTCAATATACTGAGTTTCGCCTGACATAAGCTTTTTACAATATACTTTCCGCAATTTAGTTGCGATTCCTGAACGCAAACTTATCTGTCACGCTCTTTACTATCCTGAGTTGTAAGGATGTTACTAAATCATCTGATTCTTTGACATAATGTTCAAAGTAGACTCCCTTAAATTAATTTAGAGTAAAATACTTTTACTTTAGTGTATTGTTGTATGCCACTTTGTCTGTAAAGGTAAGTCCAAGCTTGTTATTTACAAAACTACAACATCCATACATCATATTATGGAAATTTTGTTTTCCCTTCTACAGATGAAAAAGATCTTATTTTGACTTTTTCCCAGTTTTGTACAGAATAGTCTGATTTGATGTCATTGAAATAAATGAAAACTCATTGAACAATGTCCACTTAGTGCTATGGTGAATAAAACGGCGAAGTTAACAATGACCAAAAAGCCCAATTTGAAAAAGGCGTATTGTAATGCTTAGTATTTATTTGGCATGGTTTACTACAATTCAGCAACGAGATCGCCAACGTAAAACATCGCCAAAATCTTACATGTGTTCAAAACGGCACTAGCACTCGACGTCGAATGTCATCGCGTTTTGTGTAAGTTAATGAGTACAACAATTTATCTTGAATACGGACAAAGTATTTCAACTTTTCCGCAGCACTGTGAAATTTCTGCGACTGTAACCGACATTGCTAGCTTAAAGAATAGCACTGCTGCTTTTAATTTTTATTTTAGTTCGCTATCTGCATGACACAGAAGTATGCAGTACACACGTCTGAAATTTACGTAAACCTTATATCTCTAGTTTCACAGTAACAATATCAAACAAATGTTAAAAACATCTTGTGATTCGTATTTACTTTTACACTGTACAGGGGAATCTCTCATATTAATATGAAATAAGGGTACTTCATTAAGTTGTTTAAGAAATATATTGTCGATATGTTGCACCGGACACTGCTTAACGAAACGGTACATATTACATTAAAAATTATTTACAGTCTTCATGTTTTTTTTTTCTCTTATAATTATTAAAATTGTCATATTTTGATATCTATAACTGTTTACTAGTTTCGTTCTGTTGCACTTCTTTACCTATTGGAGAATGTAATTCTGCTCTGTACCTGTTAAAAATTATAAAAGTATTTATTTTTTGTAAGAATTACCTTAAAGCGTTCGCTTCGAGTTCGCCGCTCCAACCCTCCGCGTCTCACCGCTCCACGCTCCTGGACAGATCCTATTATGCCCGCTCTACACGTTGGCCAACATTGTGGCTAGTAGATATGGCCAATGGCCATTGTGTAGAGCAAGGGTTTGTGTTTATCTTGGTATGTATTGGAATGATGACCCAAAAGTTGGCGCAAGATGGTTATGGTGTCAGTTTTTACCAAAAGATCAAAAGGTTGTGGCGGAGTTATGGCCGTCGCGTCCACGGCAGCTCCTAGCAGAGTGATCGCATGCACCCACCTTATTTTTATTTTATATTCACGCATCCTAACTATAGTGTCTGATAGTAGACTAATTATAATAGGGATCGTCTCAATAACCAATTTAATAAATTCGTCCACACATTGGCTTAAATCGAAGCAAATTGAATGACCTTCCAACGCGTGGACGCTATCACAACCTCTTGGCTAATATCTTTGCCACAATATTCACCACATTCTTGGCCAACGTGTAGAGTATGCAATGGTCATCGACGGCCAACTCGTAGCGAACGGGTAGTAAAAGGAGGTAAGCTTCATATTGCATGAAACAGACTGTTAAAGGTGAATTATTTAAAATTAACAACGCATTAGGCATTAGCACTCTGAAAGTTATAAGAAACTAATCAATTTCATGAAATAAGGTACATTTGAATTCACTTGGTAAAAGTGCGAGTTTTATTGGAATATAATATTGAAGTCTTACTGGAGATGTTAAGTAAATTATTATTTATTTATTTTTTCAACACACGTACATAATATGCTGTAACACGAAAACCAAAACGGAAATACTTACTTGGATCTTTTTCTTCTTCTAACTGTATTTACAGGAGAGGCTTCTACGCAGAGTACGATCAGTCTACTGCTGCATGAATATCTAAGAGAATAAAAAAAACTTTTTGAAGTTATACTTCTTTAGGCGCGTTATGAAAAAATGATGAGAGTGAAATTTTAAGATGCGCGCGCATCACTGTAACACAAAATATTAACAGCATGAAGTTGGTCGCTTTAGCGACCAACTTCATGCTGTTACTTTTGTGTTTACCGCACATTAAGAAAATCTACCAACAAAATAGAAATAGAATCTCTATTTAGTGGGTGCTAACGACTGCATTGTGAAGGCCTATCAAAAGTATTTATTAATCTGGAACAACGGAACCAAAGCGCGATTCAGGAGACTACAGCGCCATCTCTTGACCATTGGTGTGGTAGAACCAAAAACCACATATTTATTTTTTGTAATAAAGTAACAGTTATAGGTATTCATATTTATAATATTTATCCACATGTTTCTAGTTTGTATATTCGGAATACGTGTTTGAGTTTCATACAAGTGCAAATCACATATGTTCTAATAAATTATATTCAGTAGCGATTTTAATTGAATATTTTGATTATTTATTTATTTTTTCAAATTAAAACTGAACTTTATTGACTGTGTCCTTTTCCAGACTTTTTATTAATTTATTGTAATTAATTATTTGCATGCAATTAAAAACTAATTTTAAACCATGCCAAAGAAGGATAACTTCTCACGCGCCTACATAAGTACACGCACCCATTTTTTAATCACATAACTGCTAGGTGTTCAAATATAAAGAATTTTTTTACTATAAAATAGTCCACGCTGACCAGGCAGCAGACGGGACTCGAACCAGCACCAGGGCGGATGTACTGACCAATAATGCTACCCTAATGGCCGTATTGAATTTTTCTTAGACTGCAAGGCATCATTCCTACAAAGTAAATTTTATTCGAAAAAAATCAGTCGGTCCAGATTCGAGTGGATTTTTTCTAGTAAAATTTTCTTTAGATTCAAACATTCAGAAGTTAAATCATTAAAATTCTATAATTTAAAGGCCTTGTTAACGTTACAATATTTTTCTTTTTAATGGTTGTGAAAATAACACGTAAGTATATTAAAAAAACGCCACAAATCTCATTTTAGAAAGAAAATAGTCTTTGAAATAAACCATATAAAAGGTGTTTTAGTGCATAATTACAGCACGGCAGCAATATTGAACATAGTTAATTGTAGCTTAACAAGAAATGGTACTTTCTAAAATAATGTACTAAAAACATGAGTCAGGGGGACTTAAGGGAATTTACTGATATAAAATCTACCTATCAAAATAAAATTTTCAGATTCTTAATCTGATCATCTGAGATGAAATAATAGTTCTTACGTTTCTTGGTCCAACAATTTGTTGGAATGTAACGAGGAAGCCAGCCCGAACTTCTCAGGGCTGCCGGTGTGCCACGCGTCGCAGTACGCATCCATCGCTGGCTCGCCGTTGGGGTTAGCGCCGTGCCACACGGCCTTAGTCGGCCTGAGGGAAAGGTCACTGTTTTAATATCGTACGAAAAGTTTTAATTATTCTCGAAAATCCAAAGAGTCTGCATAGTGCTTAATTTTTTTTTTACTTTTTCTTTAAAGTCATTTGTTTTTAGGATTCAGTAGTCCTGACAAGAAACTCTCACGTTAGTTTCTAATGTATATAGAGTCCATAAAAAGTGGATATTCATTATTATGTTGAGTATTTCGGTAAAAAACCAAATCAAAAACTCTATTTTCAAGTTGCCGCGAAAAACGTATCTCTGGACAATATGGCGTCTCACTGGTGTCTGACGTCACACGACTGTCATTAAAACGTCAAACCATACAATCAAAAGTCACTTTAACCGGAAGTTTACTTGCGCGTGACGTCATTTTAGGCTCCACCAATCCCAAGCGTTTTGAGTCACGTGACAATAGACAAGAAAACTATTATCTTTATCTTAGGTTTTTAGTGAAATTATGAATATTTTTTCTGTAAAAATAGTAAAAACTCCTGCCAATATTCATTCTAAATACAGATGCTAACAATTGGCACTTTATTTTTAATACTGTCAAATACCCTATTGTTTTTTTTTTCCTTTTTTTAAGTTATCTGCTGATGTTAGTACTTGCCGTTCTGTCTTTATTTTATCAAGGAAAGACCCGAGACCCAAAATTGGGAAAATTAATGAGCTGAAGATGATAACTTTGCATTAGACCCCTGACAGGCTTATTACTTTTATTATACATGAAACTACATCATAAGTTCTCTCTTGAGTATATTTTCCTTTACTTTCAAGCATTCTTGAAGAAATAATCACTTAAGCAACGATGTTGTTATCTTTTAGTTACAAGTTAACTGTTTCGTAATCCAATAAAGTAACTATTTTGATAGATTTTATAATTTTAGTTATATCGTAATTAAGGAGTAAGAAACAATTTTCGCTGAGTATATTTCCAGTTCTTCTCAAGATCTTCGTTATCGTATATTTTACGAACCGACAGCGTAGATTTTCGACTTTCACAAGTACGCACTTAATATAAGTACTTAACAACCTAGCCGAATAAACGATATTGAAGTTTGTATTTAATAAAAGTAACTTCCTGATTAGGTTAAGTCGATGAAGGTAATAAAGCACTTTATTCAAATCAAGTATCGTTGAAAATTCCTTTCTTTAAGTGGAAGTAGGCTTTTTTGATTCACTTCTCCTCGGTGTTTGAGAAAACTGGTTAATGTTTTGTTACATTGGTAATTTGTATAATAGTCGTGTATAGTATTTGTTCATGGAAACCGGCGCCAAAAGCAGCCAGACCCTTGAATCTGAAAATCTTGAAATTCACCCAGCTTAGTCCGGTTAGAAGAAGTGGTTAAATCGATGTGTGGTAATTGCCTGGCACGAGTAATTTACGTTTTTTACGGAATTGTTACCGTGTATCTTGTTTGTAGCGAGTTTCCAATATTTCGGCTGTTGCATGAACACTAGGTACATGGTAACAATCCCATAAATAACATATATAACTATAATGTTAGTGACCATGAAATGCCTGGAACGTTTTGAAATAAAATGAAAAGAAGTTATTCTTAATTCAACTTCGATTATTGAAAGCTCTTTTGAATGGACTAATATTATTCAGGACATCGATTAGCTGGTAAGGAAAATGGGCTTTTGGCTTAGCGATAATTGGGTAGGTAGAGCTTATGGCGTCCCTTAGATGGTAGGTTTAGCTGTCAGTTTCCTGGAGGGTTGCCGCCTCCTTCTGCGAATCGGTGATGACGCAGAAGGAGGCAGCGGAGAGGGAGCGGGAGGAGGACGCTCTAGCCGCCCCTCTCCGGCGTAGACGGGTGGGCCGAAGAAGGCAGGCAGCGGTGACTGCCGGTCTTCGACGGCCCTAAGGTGGTCTGGGCGCGGCCTGACCAGCCGCGCGTCCTAGGTGCCGCTCCGGCATAGGCCACCACGTCTGGGGACTGCCTAGTACCCTAGCGCAGTCCCCCTGAGGCGCGTCGCCCGGTCCACTCGTTGGGCCGGGCCTGCCCGAGGGCGTGCTCGGAGATGTGGCGCACGCAGGTGCGTCGGCCCCGAGACGCCCCCATATGGGCGTAGGAGGGTACCGGTGGGTTTTAGTGGAGTAGGATCAGTGTGGCCTTCCGCACTGGTCCTGCTTGAGTAGGGTCGGCACTGTTTCCCGTGCCGGCGAGTCCCACACACGCCGTGCGCCTAGTCAGCGTCACGGTATGGTGCGTAACTGCATTTCCCCTCGTCACAAAAAAAAAAAAAAAAAAAAAAAAAAAAAAAAAAAAAAAAAAAAAAAAAAAAAAAGGTTTAGCTGTCAGTTTACTGACATTCAAGGTTATGACTGATGGATAGCATGTCATCTAATGGGGTGACTTATGACTTTTCAGTCGCCATCTGTTTTTATCAATCACGGCTTATGGAATTGACTGATGTTTGCATGAGCGTCTAATGGACGCCTTATGTTAGCCTCGTCCATGTGAATTTCCCTTCGTGGCATGCGTCTAAAATACAAGAACATTCGTTCTCAACGCTTCGAATTAGCGCAAATACTTAAAAATATATAACCCGCGAATCCGCTCTGGGCCCGCCTGGTAGGTCATGGCCCCATCTCCCTATTTCATCCATAGGGAAGGATTGTGCCCTAGCAGTGGGGACAATAATAAGCTAATGATGATGATGACTTAAAGATATATGGTTCAAATTGGGAATCGGGACTTCGGTTGCATGTGCGTATTCTGCAGGCTCTTCCATGGTGAGTGCTCCGAGGAATTGTTCCAGTTACCCACAACACTATTTTACCACCGCACCACCCGTCAACGGAGTCGAGTTCAACCATATTACCTGGAAACACTGAAGTCCACAACTGTTCGCTTTCAAAGATCTTTTATTCCACGGATAGATAAAATTATGGAATGCGCTCCTCTTCACCGTGTTCCCTCTGTACTTTAACATGGTCCACTTCAAGGTGGGCTTAAATAGTGTTCCATGAAAGGCAGTGGCATAGCTGTGTCACTGGCATTCCTGATGTAGATGGGCGACAGTGACCACTTAACATCAGGTGGCCCGTCCTCTCGTCTGCCTTCGAAGGCAATAAAAAAATGAACAATTTGAAAACTGCTTACCAGGCCGGGTCCATCAATACATTTTGGCCACTAAAACTGAAGATTCTTGGAGCATGAGCGAACAGCGCCCCTGAACCGTCGAACATTTCCGCCCACGAGTTGAAAAGGACATCACCTCTCGTGTTCACCACGGGCGTATCTCGATTCACCCAGTTGACTATGGAATCCATCGATTGTACCCTGTTGACAACAAAATAAAATCATGAAGAAGTTACTTTGTTCTTATCTCGGTATTTGAAATATATTTAAAAACATATTGAGCGTGTCGTTGTATCACACGTAAAAAGGTGTATATAGGTTTCAAAAGTCTTGAAAATATAATATTGTTAATATAGCGAATTTATAAATCTAAATAATATATTTACTAGAAAATATATTTATCGAGCATAATAATGCATAAAATAAACATAATAACCGATTATTATATTTTTTTATAACAAAAAAGCTTTCTTAAAAATACATATACATTGCACATCAAACAAAAAATGTCTAGAGTCCCCAGAATATTCTCATATTTGAAATGTTAAAAATATCACCTTGAGGTGAGGGGATGACATTTTTGATGAATGATCTACTTATAGTTACTTCAGAGTTTTCATTACTATTTTATACTCAAATATTACACTAATTTGTGTAATTATAACTGGTAATTGTTCAATAGTTTATTCAGAGGCTATGAAAAAGTATTTATATCATAACCATAAGCCTTTATCTTTCTCAAGTACCTACCTATCGAACAATACTTAAAATTCAAAAAGCTGAATAAGATCCTTCACGACCGAATAAAAATCTTGCAGTTCCTAGGAGTCCAATTCATGTAATCGATGGCGTAATGTCGTTTATCAAAAGTTACAAGGGTAAGTCCCAGGTAAGCATGAGGGCTCAGATAATCTACAGAGGCTACAAATCTTTCTGCGGGTGCGATATGAGCCAGAGCCGGAGTGGTTTCGAGTCCGACTTGAGCCGAGCTGCAGAGCGTAAAAGTTGCCGTTGCCAAGGAATATGCAAATTGTTCGAATGTCACTTTGGCTTAGACTGATTTTAGAGAGTTTCCATTTTGTCGTGACCCGTTTGAGAGAGGTACATTTTCGTCAGCTACATAAATTTTGGGACATATTTAAATTTAATATTAATGCGACGAGTCTAAATCCTAAATAGGCTATTTAACAACTTTTTGAAAATCTTTAATCGTTATTTATTCGTGTACAGAGACTCAATAAAAAGTGAGTATTTATAATTCTGTTGTGTGTATCTAAATGTTTTTCAGATCCACCTCATCAAAAAGTCTTAACAACATGATGTTGTACTTTTGATGGATTTTACTATTGCAATTATATTTATTTTTATGAAAACAAAACACGATCGATATGCTTTTTTTTATTAGAAAAATATGTTTCTAAGAACAAAAAAGTTTATATACCAATCTACGTTGCCAAGAAAAAAAAATATATCAATAGGGGTAATGACGGGGTACAGTAAACGAAATTCTATTTAGTCCGTCAGTTAGATGATCAAAAAATAATGGACACGTATTGTATCTTCGGGCAATCAACCAAAAAATGACAAAGTTATAGCGCGTCAAAGTTTGGGAGTAGGGGCTCGTGGCGTCACTTTTGAGTGAAAATTGTACTTGTTTAATTGTAAAACGTGACGTCATGCGAATTTTCAAATCAATATATCTCTGCTATGTTTATATTATGTGAAAAAAGAAAAAATAAGTGTCCAATACTTTTTGATAATCTACCTGATAAACGAAGAAAAAAAAATTAGTCATCATCCGTATTAAGAAAACAGTATCGCTTGTAGACTTTTTTAATGTGTGTAATTTAACTTGTGTGTCTGTTACTAACATAACTACTTTAAATTTTGTAATCACCGTATTTTAAATAAAATCGATGTTTTTTATTTTTCCATTCCTAGCAAATGAATGTACTATTTTCCCGCAAAACATTAAAACAATAACTAAGTCTAAGTCTGTAACAATAATTCATACAAACCTGGTTGATATAAAAGCGCGGAAGTTCCCATCCATGTTAGCCCTTTGGGCTTGCCTTCGGCACTCATAGTTGGTGCTGCTCATCCCATGCAAGTCACCGGTATGTGGCTCATTGAGAGCAGCTAATCTGAGCTGAATTCGTGTAACAAACATTTTATATTAGAATAGGGAAGAGATGGTCTATAATTTACGTAAAATATAGGTACAAGCAGATCCGACAGATGGCCTTTCCTATAAAAAATATGGAAAAACTCCTAAAACCCCACTGCAGCACTATCACGTACAGTTAAGTTTTCTAAAAAATATTAAAATGTAACTTTTATTTCATCGGGATAATTATTTTCTTTCATCTTTAGCGTGTAACATTACGTCTTAAATTGTTATTAAATAATTCAGACTTTCTCAACAAGCGTCTGTGGCTCAGTGGTAAAAAGCACTACTGCTACGTGGGTGACCCCAGACGAAGATTCCTAGACGAAGAACGACTTCTTTTAAATTAATGATAACAAAAGTTTCATTCATCAAATTTTTTTCGAAACAACTTTCTTATTTCTAATGTCGAACTTTCTCCAAAAGTATTAGAAAAGATAAAAACATTGGATGAAATCGGTGGTCATTTTCATGTCTTAGCGTGACTGAGGAAAGAAGAGATTAATTTTCATATAGTTGTATAGATGTATATTGGGAAACAGGACATGTGATCCACCCACACACTTCACGGGTAAGTAATTTGGGTAAGGCCAGCAATGTCGGGATTGTTAGAATGGCACGCGTTTCTTCAGATATCTTCTAAACTGGATTATGTTCTGTACGAAATGTAAATCACGGAACATTTGGCCGATTGATGCGTCTCGTTATCTATACTTCTATTATAAAGATATAACTACTGGACCGGTGTGAAAAAGAAATTACATATTTAGAATCCTACCTTATCCCTGATGAACATAGCTTATAGAGTATTTTCAAAAAGTAAGGGTTCCGTATGAAAAAAATGATAGTGTAACACAGGGTATGAAAAATATACCAAAAATAATCTTATGTCGCTTACACTGCGGAATTCATTGACAATAGAGTAAAGTAATGTACAAAATTTTATAGAAGACTTAAATATCTACAAAAAAATCCGCAATACCATATGACTATAACTAGAACTATTACAGTTATGTCACAACCAAAGGTCCCCTGCGGATTAACCTGCGTTAATTTGAGGAAAAAGGTTACAGTGAGTCAAACTTAAAAATGGGCATATGCTGACGCCGACTTTTTTAATAGAACTTTTAAAGGGGAACAATTCTGTCATACATGATTTTCGTGTAACTATAATAATTTACGCAGCGCACGCAACAGAATCTCCGAAATGGAATATTTTTAACCCTTTTTGCAACATTTTACATCGATACTCCGTCCCTACTAGTCGCAACGTAGTATCATATAATCTCAAAAGCCTTCCTATAAATGTACTATCTAACAAAAAAAAGATTATTTCAAATTGGACCATTAGTTCCTGACAATTGCGCGTTCAACCAAAAAAATTGTGCATTCGGTACAACGGGTCCTAAATTACACAACAAAATTTTCACTATCAGCTGAATAAATTTTCATGGAAGGTTTATAATTATATCAAGAAACTAGCTGTCACAGCGAACTTCGTACCGCCATAAAAAATAGGGGTTGGTAGTAGAAGGGTGAAAATTTAGGGTTGTATGTATTTTTGTATGATGTACCATAAAAAAACAACAAAAACTTTTGTCCAAAAAAAAATAAGGTTGGACCACTCTTAACATTTAGGGGGATGAAAAATAGATGCTGTCCGATTATCAGACCTACTGAATATGCATATAAAATTTCACGAAAATCGTTCGAGCCGTTTCGGAGTAGTTCAATTACGCACACCGTGACACGAGAATTTTATATATTAAGCCTGAGAACAAAAACTATAGTCTATACTACAGCGTTTCACCGAAGCGAAGCAAGGGTGGGCCACTAGTTCAGTTGATAAGTTCCGTGCGAAGAATCTATAAAAGACAATGGCGAAATATTTGTCGAAGGAATTCTGTAGCGTCTATAGATGGCATCATCAACAATTTGTATGGGAGTTTGCCATTTTCCTTTATAACTAAGAGCTATTAAGCTTTAACTCACCACGGGTCCTTCAACAGCGGCATTCTTATGATGAACTAAACTGGAAGTTTCTAGAATATTCTGGATTGGTATTCTCGTCGGACTATTGATTGGTGGAGAGTGTATGGCTAATAAGGAACCCATCTAAAACAAATGATTATTTTATATTGACAAAACATGTTTTTTTACAGAACAATGTATTTTTATCATAGTGATTGAGTGTAATGGCAATCATATTCCGGTCAAAACATTAGAGATTAGTAATACATTGCCGTTGTTCGTATTCATTCCTTTAGCGAAATACCAAAATTTCAACCAAATGGGTTACATTAGTCCTTAAACTAATCGAAAATTGTTAAAAGCGACGTATTACTCTTTCCTTTCTGCCTCATATTGATATAAAATGTTAAACTAAATACAGTATGTTTGAGCTCTATTCGAACTTGAGGCCCTCGGGAAAAGCTAAGTTACATTTAAATAAGCCTGGAAAATCTAAAAAGGTTGGAATTCCCAAAAGGAGCAGTACCATTTTTCTTCGAATTGCGCTTCTTAAATGTACAGGTAGAAACACATTTTATTTTTACGCAGAACTTAATTACAGTATCGGAAAACGTTACCCCTAACTTGGAAGTGTAAAAAAGTGAAGTAATTTGAGCGATTCATTAAGTTCTATTGACTCGTGTTTCATTACTCAGCATTTTTTCCTACTTTGGGTACCTACTACCTATTTATAGACTTTTTTTTCATACGCAGGAAAAAAATACTGTTTAGAGACGACGGCACCTTTAAGAGACACACGGCCGAACGGACCTCACACCTGGCCCCCGCAAGCCTTACAAACCCCAGCAGTGGCTACCCACTGAGGAACCCGTAACTCTTACGGGCGCTTTACGGCATAATATACGCTAAAAAACCCTGCGAATACCCTCTGAGCTGCATAGCGCGAAGCCGCGGGATCCCCGTTTAGGGATTCTTCCGCGCCTATCTATTTATACACTTGCAAAATTGTAATGTTTCATGAAATATTATGTCATAGTCTTATTTTTACTAAAGAGATTCATTAATATGCGTTTATTTGAATCAGTGTAGTAAGTTCCATGATATCACAACATGTTAAAACTAGAATGATTAATATTTTTATTTAATAATATTTTTTTGTAATATATGATTAGGTAAGTGTACTTTAAATATTATTTTATTATTCTTATCTCAATTATAAATTTCAATTAAAATAAGATTCTCTGCAACATTACAATGTTTTGGTGAATACATTCAGGAATTTTACATTATTTTTTAAATCCTAATTGTGGAAATAAATATGAATGAGAAACGAACACAACTCTTCAATTTGTATCTAGGGTATCATATCAGACGAATAAGTTTTACTCAAGGATTTAAAAACTTACCGCTACGTACTGCCATCCACTATTAACACGTACTAAAAGGGCTTGTTCTTGAATCACATACGCCAATGTTCCCAGTGGAGTGTTTGCACCGAGCTAAAGGAAATAAAAAGGTTTTATAAAATTAGGCTATAGCGTATGACTATATTGAAAATTGCTAGTTGCTAGTTTACTTGGCTATGGGTTTATGGGTTATCAAGGATTGCGATTAAATTTCTAATGGAAAACCATATGATGCAGATGTGTAAAACTTAACATCTGTCTAGTTTCTCATGAAAGTGGTTGCCGGAATATTTTTTCATTTTATATGTATGATTTTATTGTTTGAATCGTCTGAAAGCATCAATATATGTAGTTTCTAAGATACATTTACGAAGTATTGAAAAATCATTGCAACGCTAATTTCATTACAAACAAATTATAGTCAGCACATTTTCAGAACTTATAGAGCACCTCAAAAATTCTGAAAATGTGACAGTTCTAGAAATAGTAAATATAAATATTATGAATTTTTCCTCATTGTAAGAAACTTTATGCTCTTGACAATAGAGTCTAATCTATACGATTTTACAGAACCCTTTTCATTACGATTAGCTTAAAGATTTCTTAATTCTTTATAAATAAAATTTCTTCGAATAATATTTGATAAACTGATACCCAAGTACCTATTGTTTTACCGAACACCAGTAATTCTGAGGAGCTCGATGACGCAAGAGGTTAGGGCGTTCGGCTGCGATCGCTTAAGTTAAGCAACTTTCGACCCCGTTTTATCGAATGCACCATTGACGTGCACCATTAACGGTGCAGATGAAACTGATTAGTTTCATTTACTCCATTAATGGGGCAAACCAACCACAGAATCTATAGATTGTGTTATCTGCACCATTGTGATGATACTTTTAGCTACTATAAATATGGTTATATTATTAAGTATTTTTCTTTGAATGTCATAATTTATTTAACGATTTTATCTAACTGGAGTAAATATTCGTAATAAAAATGAGTGAATTATTGAACATAATCGAAGCTTTGGAGTTCGTTTTTATTCGGCATTCTTTTACTTTTTTTTAATGACGAAGAAAGAATGGGGAATAAGTAGTATTCATATTATTCGTGCATGTGAAGCCAATCAGCTTCATATGCACCATTAATGGTGCAATTCAATCGTACATTCGGTACAATACCCTTTCGCAGACGTCGGTCATTGATGATGACAAAAAATGTAATCTCTCGAGCTCCTTCGTGCTTCGGAAGGCACGTTAACGTAAACGTTGGTCCCGGCTCGTCTGTAGTCGATCACACCCACTGATCCGCACTGGGACTGCATGGTGGGTCATGGCCCAATTTACCTATTCCATCCATGGCCTGGGGAAGGGAAGGCATGAGCCCCAGCAATAGAGACATTAAAAGGCTGATAATGAAATATGAATGAAATTACTCTGACTAAGGAGTCTGTGGTCTTGAATATAATAGTTCCAACAATCGCCCGTCCATCTTCGTCGTCATCAAAGTCTGGGTTGTCTGCCAATGAATCCATATAACCTACAAAATAGGACTTGGTGAGCTATGTGAACAAGCTGTGACTATGTGTAGGTACACAAAATTTAAGTATACGACTGTCTGGTGAAATAATCTGGGATTGCCGTCATTTCAAATTGAACAAGATGTAAATGGTACAGTCACCTATTCTGATTCTGTTTTTTTCTTTTTTATTCGAAGTAATTAATAATATAAAATGTTATTTTTTTTTATTTATTTAAGTAGTTGATATTTATTTAACACAAATTTCTCTGTTTGTGGTACGAGTATGGATATCAAATCAATCGATTCTTCTCAAAAAGGTCTCCCACTTTTGGAACCGGTGGTAGTTTACGGTAGTTAGGGTCAAATAAATAAACTCAAAATTACAAAAAAGAATTTTAAATAAAGTACTTTATTAACCAATAAATTCATACATAGACAATAAAGTTTTAAAAATCTTCCAACGAAATATCCAAACGCTCAATAAAAGTCTTTCGAAGGTAGCTCGACAAAGTAAATAAAAAATCATTATTCTGACGATGCAGACCTGAAAAGGCTGCGAAACGTCAATAAATAAATAAAGTTCGTGCATTAATCCGTTAAAACTAGTTTTATTTTAATGAGTGATGTGCGTGAAAACCTAAGAAACAAATACTTATATCAAATCAAATTTAAAAAGCACCAGTTTAATTTCCTTCTTCTTTCAATTTATAACAACAATTTCATAATATCAGTAGATAAACTTAAAAGTATTTTCATTTAATTTCCAATTTAGAAGTACCCTTACTCAATTCTAACAATTATAAGCACTGTGTTTATTAGCTTTTCTTAGTGAAACTTTCATTATTCATTAAGTATACAATTTGAAGTTTAAAACAAACTTACCGTAAGGCTCTTGTCGAAAATTAACAAGATGATTCAAGCTCCTCAGAATTTGCAAAGGATCCCGTTGCTTTCCTATTGGAGATTAGAAAAAATAAATTATTATTTTTTTAGGAAATTATACTCACAATCATATTCAAAAAAATCTAAGTAAAAACACGACAAGTGTTTTATTTTTTCTTAAATAGATGATTTACTTATTGAGTTATATACCTATCTATGATCTGGCATACATCTGACCTCGCTTAACGCTAAGAGTCAAGCTACTGCAATAATGACTCACTACATTAAATGAACTGTCGTATGTGATCACAATACAAGCTACACCTCTAAGTAGGTGACCTGCACAGATTCTATCGTTTTACTTAGCTTGGCACTAAGGGACGCTCTATCTATTGTGGCCAGACAGAACCCACATCATCGTCACATGGCATGTTTTTACATACATATAAACACGACTTATATACCTTTCATGTTTGGAAGTGTATTAAAGGTGAGATAACATGGTGCATTAATATTATTAAACCATTACTCCCAAAACCCTCAACCAAGTCACAATCAGCATTGATTGGGTCCAAGATATTATCCGACAACAATAGTGACAGGTTGCCAGGTCATCCTCCACTTATTTCGAAAAATACCCTATCACTGTCGATTTCTGGCATATTATAAAACTCAAACTTAGCAACTCGTATTTTGTGTTTCTTCCAATTTTAGTTCAGTATGGAATATATTGTCCTCACATACGTGTTACGGTTAAGACTTGTGCCATCACTCAGTTTAAATTTATATTTATTTAATACTCACCCACTCCGGGTTCCCGACGATTAATTCCCGGCATATCGGTCAATGTATCGGGCACTTCGTTCGGGTAAAAGCCCGGGGGACCCGGTGGTCCCGGCGGTCCCGGGGGTCCGGGTAAGGGTACGTGCTTTATATTCGCAGCAGGTAGACCGGGCGGGCCGGGTGGGCCTCGAGGACCCTCTTTACCCGGGACACCTGGGGTCCCATCGAACCCTCGTTCTCCTTTGGCTCCCTTTATCTTGAAATAAATTTCGATTCCTAATTTTTTGTTTTGCACCAGAGTAAAAAATAATGTAATCCAGAATAAAATAATAATTAAGGAGTGGACAATACGGCCTGAATAAACATTGAAAACTATTCAATCTATCTGCTTTATTTGAAAGATAAAGACGATAAGGAAAAAATAATTAATATTGTGGAAAAATAATCACATTAAAAGATGATTTAGTTCATATTCACAATTAATAAAATCACCAGACTTGCGTTGCCTATTCGATTAAAAATTGAAATAATCTTTATTACCTTTTCCAAGTCATGCAAATTCAGTCCGGGATCTCCCTTTTCTCCTTTTTGACCTTGAGGGCCAGGCGATCCGGCAGCTCCAGGTGGCCCCTAAAATAAAAATAATATTTTAAACTATTTCTTTATCTAAATCAGATGTATCAGTGAGAATGTTTAGAAAATAGCAACGTACTGTCCAGCCTGGTAAACCAATGTCTCCGGAAATTCCGTTTGTTCCTGGTGTCCCTGGAGGACCTGGCAGACCCGGAGGACCTCTAGGACCGGGTGGGCCGGGATGCCCCCGTTTACCTCTAGGCCCTGATTCACCTTTATCCCCCTAAAATAAAAGGACTTCCAACAATATCGCTTATATTTGACACTATAAAGAACTGAGATTTCCATTAAATGTGAGTGACTTAAAGTGTTCCTTCCATCACAATCGAAAGGTAAAATGAGGTAACATTATATTGTAACAATAATTTTAAATTCTTTAATTTAAAAATGAAAGAAGTCGCAATCTGAAGTTAATATTACACGAATAGCTGTTTGAAATCCATAGGTTATGATACCTTAGTCAATATTAAAGCTTCCTCCCTAGATATCGCAACTGGTCCGGGTGGGCCCGCTTCGCCTTTGTCCCCTTTTGGTCCTGATGGACCCAGTCCACCTTGAGTTCCAGGCAACCCAGACGGACCAATGTCTCCTCTGTCTCCAGGTTTGCCGTCGTTTCCGGGAAAGCCTTGAGGGCCTTCCAAGCCTCTTAATCCTTTTTCACCCTGTACGGTGTAGCAAAATTTTGTTAGTCATAAGTTTTTGCAATGTCATTCCTTTAGATAATATTTGTATGTAATAATGCATACGTTTCTTTGCAAGATTGTTTGGGTTGCGTTATGTGGCAACTTGCCGTTTAAAAATCTTATCCGCGGCAACCTCGACCTTAATTGAAATTAGGACGACGAAAACTAGCATTCCTTACTTCCGTCTTTGTTACGCTCTCTTTTAAAGTTACTAAAACCGAGTTCCGGTGTTTACCCTTGCATTTGTCGGTTTATCGGTCTCAAGGTGATGATCTTGAAGGGTTATAGGAAGCTTGAAACTGCGTAACCATCGATTCCTATGGGTATATTCCAGTAAAATTTTATAGCTTTTTATTGTACAGTCAACAACACATTAAGCAAGCAAAAGTTTATTTTTTATTCACTCGAATGTAAAACCTGTATCTTGCAAGGTTAAGCTTAAAATTATTTGAAGAAATTTTACAGTTTGTTTAACTTGACCTGTAGAATCCTTAGGATTCATGACGTTTGCGTAAAGCTGCTTTGTCGGGTATAAAGTTTCATTACTTTCAAGACCTTTACCTTTAACTATAATGGTTTCAATATCTTTTCTTAAAAGGTCAAGTATGTCTGTGGACAAAATCTAAACCTGTATCTATAAAAAATAATAACAAATAACTTTTTGAATGACTGACAGTGTTAGTTTTTGTCAAAAAGTCTGTTCGTTGTTTTTTTCCACTTATCTGCTACTCAATAAATAATAATTTTATGCTATTCTGTACTTTCCAAATTTCCGTTGTACAATGTTTTTTAATGAAGAACTTTTGATTTCTTATTTTTAGAAATAGCTTCGTAATTACAGATAGAAAAAAAATCTCTCATTTATAGATCGGAACAGCGACCGAGATAGAATATGTAAATAGTTTTATTCATGAGAATTCCTCAAATTTAATTACTTACCTAAATTTTATTAGAAATTAATTACGACCTTAGAAGAATTAAATAAATTCTTCTAAGATACTATCAAAATCAGTAAATTCTCGGAATCTTATTCATGAACGTTACTTTAAGGACTTAAAGTTTTGCTGTGATAATTTTTTTCCTATACAGTATGTTGAACTTAAAAAGTGGTCTGAAATAGCAAAGCGTTTATGAAATATCTAAAATATGTTTCATAATATTTTTTTTTTCTCAACAAATTATGTTTCATCTAAGTAGTCACTTTATGCATTCTCATTAATTACGTCCGTTTGATGTTTCATTAAGGTTTCGGTCTTTTTAAAAGTTGAAGACATTTAACATAATATCATGAATAAGATATTGAATATGTAATCTCGCTTTTTTTGCCTCCCAGGTCACACCTAGGTGAACTGTGCTCAACGATCACTGTCGCATTGCGGAACCGGACCTACTATTTGAACAAATTTTCATTATCGCTAATCTCCTTAGTTACCTACGTACTTTATAAATAGGTACTTTTATGTTTTATCAATCTATTTACAATAGATACATAGAAGTACGATACACACATTTTCAGTAAACTAGACGATAATCCATAATAGTGTTCACAGCATGATTATTTATTTCATCATACTAAGCGAAAAAAAAGTCGTGAAGAATAATGTAATGCAAGGTGGAAAAACTAACTTAAGGAGATTGTTCAGAAGTGGTAGTCGGTTTCCGATAGCGACGAAAAATATATCATTTGAAAGCTTGCTTTATAGTATAACAAGAACAGATACATATTAAATCGTGATTAAAAATTTAACAATTTTGTAAGGATGCTGGCCATGCTGTCATAAGTAACGTCATAGTTTTTGTGTGTGGCAGCTTATAACGGCACATCTCTATGGCAAATGGCCATCAATCCAGTCATAACATAACAGTCGTAACAGAATAATAATCACTGCTTAAGTAACCTATTGAATAGAATATATTTGATGTTTCGGTAACAAAAAATAGATAAACAAACTGGCCATTTGCCAATTAATATTTAAAAAAAATGCTATCATTGTAATATAAAAAACGGAAAATAAATAAATCTGCTTTTTTGTTAAACGAGTAACAAGTAAGTGCACTACGTCTCATAAATATTTGGAGTCTGTCGAAGACTCACTACTACCCTCCATCTTCTTTGTATATTATAGAGGATTATATTCATTTACAATTATTTTATTTTATAATTACCTTATCTCCCTTTTCTCCTCTATCGCCTTTTATCCTTTGCATCTCTCGAACTCCTGCGACATATCACACACTATATATTTCGTTACAGATAAAACAAGATATTCATGTATTCTTCATCTTCTACTTCAGTAGACAATAGCTATAATGGGCGCATGTTTTGTGTCTAAATTCGTAATAAATCACTAGGCACTGTTTAATGTTCACAATTTTTTTCACAACGAAGACCAATATCAAAATTTAAATAAATAAATGAATATTAAATAAGTACAAAAATAGCTGAATTAATTTGAGAATTTTCAATGAAATGTCAACAATTTAATAAAATCAAATAAAATACGGTAAAAGCCCTTTATGTTCAATAGCTGAGCATTTTTATGACTATGACGATAAATGTAAATTGGCAAAATCGTTGTTTTTTTTGGACCTCAAGGTTTATTTGATATATTTTTAACTAGGTATCTAAAATATCCTTTCTCATAATGATTGTATTCATCAAAAGTAAAAAGCTTACCATTTTGCTGTATGTCAGTTGATACGGAGTTTTCGGATACAGCAGTTATTGGTGGCCCGGGTGGGCCAGGAAGACCACGTGCACCTTAACAAATAAAAACAGTAGTTCATTATTGTCATACATCATCGTCAGCCTATTAATGTAATACCTGTTGAAGCCTTCACTCCATGGGATGGAATCGTAATGGGACAGCGAGCAATAACTCACCATGGCTTTATAGGAATTAAATCAAATCAAATAAAAAAGAAACGGAATTCCACTCTTAAACATAATATAATTAGTGGGTGCTATTGACTACAAATTCAGTCGGGGCCAACGACAAGGGATGATGACAGGGTAGTAAATGAAATTCTATTTAGTTCGTAAGTTAAATTATCAAAAACTAAAGGACGCTTATTTTTACTTTTGTCAATAAACCAGAAAATTAGAAATTTAAAATGCGTCAGATATTGGGAGAGTGGCTCTTGACGTCATTGCTAAGAATAAATTGTACTAAGAAGTAACATCGTGCGATATTTCAAATCAATATGTATCTGTAATGTTTTAAATGTGTGAAAAAAGAAAAAATATGTGTCCAATACTTTATGCTAATCTATCTGATGGACGAAGAAAAAAAAGTAAGCCATCATCCCTATTGATGTGCCTGTCAAAGCACGTCAAGAACAAATGTTCGTATTCATCACATAAACATCTGCCCCGCTCCGCCGCCCGGATTCGAACCTCTCAAGTGGGCGACATCTTGAAACTTGGAGTACAAACCATTCGGTCACGGAGGTCGCCAAAATGAAACAGAGAAGTGCGATAAAAATAAATATATCTCTATTAGGGACTAAGCAGCGATGTATTATCATAATGCAACGGTTCTAAAAGGAAACGCCGGTAATAAATAAAAGCCGGCGCACGTAAGAATCCATACAACCGGGGTTCTAGTGCGAAGAAATAAAGATTTTCCAAATCGTTACTATGAAGCCCTAAAATCTTGTGAACGCGTTTCCCACGAATAAATAAGGGTCATAGTGAAACATAAAATTTTATGGTTGAGTTAGTTTGTTACCTTTTTCACCCTTTTCGGCCGGCCGGCCGTGAGCGCCCGGGAGGCCCGGCGTGCCATCTCGCCCGGGCTGTCCCCTTTCCCCTTTGGCGCCATGTGGCCCTCTCAGACCCATGAACCCCTGAAACAACTTATAATGTTAGGACCGAAGGTAACGTAACACTGCGTTACGAGGGTCAAACCGGGCGCTTATTGCATTGGCCCTCGTTTATTATCCGTGCGTCTACAAAATTAGTGACGGTCTGCAAGATTTCACTTTGATTTTGTTAGTTTTTTCCCGGAATTTCCTTTACGGGTTGTGTGTGCTGCCTGAGTTGTTTGTTTTTACCTTTTCTTTCGAGCGTCACTGTTTTTGCGCAATGGAATCAAATAATATACTAATACATTTGAAGATTTGGATTCATATTGAAACGAAAATACTTTTAGAGAAATAAGCTGAAAAGATAAAATATTATGTTAAAACCTTATACTAAAACAAAAAAGGAAGACACTACACACTAGTTTACTACATAAGCAAATGTCACACACGCACACTTCTGTAAATAAACATTCAATGAGCGAGCGAGATAGAACTGTACGCTTCAACGCAGCACGAGCGAAACGGCTAGTCCGCGTCTCTTGGCAGCTGACTGCGTTTTCTTTTCTTTCTCTACAAACGACTGAGCTAAATTATAAGAAATGGCTAATAACTAAATAATATTCATGACAACCCGTGATTTATGAGAAAACAAATGTTTTTAAAGTTTTACGAATGAAAAGTGTTGCCGTGGAATTTGTCATATGATCTCAAACTATTTGTGCTGTGTTTTAAAAACATCGAAGGCATTGTTTTACATTAATAACACATAATATACGCAACATTGTTGTATTGAGAGTAAATGTAGCGTGTTTGGATGGCAAATTGTGGCTAAAGGATTGTGGTCATGCACCACAATTTAAACGGATCACTTTTGAGTTGCTAGTGCCGTATCTTCCCTTTTTGTTTTAATCTAAGGTTAAAATATTCAAGACTCAATAAATCCTAAATTCTCGTTAGATAACTGGGAAGCATGTGAAATTAACTAGTCTATTTTAGTCTTCAATTTATCAGTCCACACATTGGAACTAATTATGCCATGATTTTTTAAAGTTAAAATTAAATTTGACAATGGTGTATCCTTATCACGTTGCATATTTCATTCAGCTTAAGGTTAAGAGAAGCCAAAGTCAAGTCCATTATAATTATAAACTAAAGACACTTATTTATCAGCATGAGAAATATTAACTACTTACTCTTTCTCCTTTATCGCCCTTTGGGCCATGAAGACCCCTTTCTCCTTTATTGCCCGGATATCCTCGTTCACCTTGTGGACCAGGTAAGCCCATTTGACCTCTCTCACCCTGCGCTCCTGGCAGACCACCATTGCCAGACCCGTAGAGGACTGTTGATTCCTGGGAGACATAATTATGAGTTAACCCTCATAATTTTTTTACCATCATTTTTGACAAAAAATCTGATTTCAGCTTGTCTTGATTCCCAACTGGGATCAACCTAAAAAATGGCTCGGAATCAGATTGTATACGTAAAATGTTCCACATTTCCATAGCACAAGTGTGTTATTACCAAACTTTAGGATTATAGCTCTAGTTATGTAATTGTTTTAAACTTTCTTGGTCACTAACATTATAGTTATTAACGGAATTGTTACCATGAACCTTGTACCAAAATAGCGAAGACTCATAAAAAACAAGGTACATGGTAACAATCCCGTTAATAGCTATAATAGCTATATAATGTTTCATTATACCTTAGTGAATAATAAGATTGTATATAACATAAAAAAATGCTAGCTACTAACCATCAATGCTGAAGATACGGGCCCTGGTGGCCCAGGTGGGCCAGGTGGACCCTGTGGACCTTGAACACCATCCAAGCCCGGTTCACCCTTTGGACCTAGCTGACCTTCTGGCCCATTTGAGCCTTGTTCACCCCTTTCGCCTCTGTCACCTTTGGGCCCCACTGGCCCGGGTGGTCCTGGATCTCCCATTTGTCCCTAAATCACCATAAAAATTTTAGTCAAAAACAAAAAAAAACTGCTTCTGATTATCTTGTATAAGTGGTCAGTAGATCACCTATTCGTCTGTTGGAACGATGAAATGAAGCGTTTATTATTATATTTTACTATCATATACCTTTAATTATCTGAATTAATATACGATTTCATTTGATCACGGAACAAGCTACATAACTTATACACATTATTAGGATACCTTATACAGTTATGTTATTAAGTATTAGTGTGTTATAAGTAGCGTATTATATTATGAATATTATTATTATTCAGTTCATTTTATTTCAAATATATATCATCCACGTGGACAAAATGGTTGCCAAAAGAAGTAAGTAGATTTATAATATTTCTTTTCACGTAAACTTTAAGAAGAAATCTGTCAATTGATTTCTTCTTTTTATGATGACAATGAAATTTTACAGTATGTAATAAAAAAAACACAACTAACTTACATCATGTATCGTCGTAGAGATTGATATCGGTTTCATTTCCCACGTAATTTGTAAGCAAGATATTTCGATGCGGTGGAATACATTTCATGTATCTATTCTTTTCGTAATGTGTACGTATATAATAATAGTTTGGGGAATACGAGGAATTTCCCCGGGCGATATCCGAGGACGGCAACATTACATGTCAATATTGTTTTTATGGTGATCCCGATGAAATAAAACGGACTGATGAGAGGAGTTTCCTAATATTCATTTCAACATGTTTTTAATCAAAACTTTGAGGGCGGCTTTTAGTTTCGTAATTTCGAGTTTCATTGGAATTGCTTTAATGTAAATATTATATTATTAGATAAGCTCATTTTGTTACTTTTGAATATTAGATAAGTTAGTATTACAGTTCACAAATGTGTAGGTGTGTAGGTTTGACTAGTTTCATTGGAATTGCTTTAACGTAAATATTATATTACTATATGTGCCCATTTTGTTACTTTTGAATATAAGATAAGTTAGTATTACAGTTCACAAATGTGAAGATTTGTCTGGGTTCTCAGAAATATTTATAATAGGGAATAAAAAGTAGAGGATTTATTATTTTAGCAGAGCGTGTGTAAGTTAGTTAATTAAAAGTAATAACAAAATTTAATTATACTTTGTTCGCTTATGTTCAAGTGTACTGATTCTTTACCATAATGGTGTGCATAACAAGGTCAAGCCAGCACCATATATGTATGTGCTGAAGCATTAAATATTGGCATGTTAAATTTTTGTTATGTTATTTTACTAGTTGAGATAGAGCGAACCAATTATTTATCACACAAACCCAAGAATGGGAAAATCCAGGGCAGCCAAACCAGAAAAAAATCCGTACGCTACCGATGTGGTCTATGCTTACAATAATCATCATTGTTAGAAATGACTTATTATTTAGATATCAAAAATGAGCAAATACACTTACAGTTTTCCCTGGAGATCCGGTAGTACCATCAGCCCCAGTCGGGCCTTGTGGGCCAGGAGGCCCTCTGAGCTCTGGAGTGACTTCAAGTATCTGCGATATGTCGCCTAAACTGCATCTGCAGTATCCTGGAGGCACCTGTGAACAATGTATATGATTGAAATCAGGAAAATGTTTCCATGTTTTAAACAACTCTTTATATTCTTTGCATGATTAGCATGACACGAAACTATCTATATCTAGCACATAGATATAGATAGTTGATAAAAGATAAAATGAAGATGAATTTATCACGGTAAAGAATTGTAATTTTCTTCTAAAAGTTTTCATTAATTATACTAAATTGAAAGCTGTAAATGCCATGCATCTATTTACTTGGTAAATCTTAAGGGTGTAAACCAGAGGGCCGTGGTAGCATAATTGGTCAGTGCATTCGCCCGGATTGCGAAGGGTGCGGTTTCGAGTCCCGTCTGCTGCCTGGTCCGCGTGGATTCTTTTCTAGTAAAACTTTCACCCGTCGAGGGGGGATGCCTAGGTGCTTCCGGGCATACCCCTGACCGCCAGGAGGAGGAGGAACCCCTGCCGGGGGTAACGTGGAGAGTCACCAGGATCCCACGAAAACCGTTCCGGCAGGCGAGGAAACACTGTTGGGTTTTTAGTGGGTAGCTATTCAGGGGGTGTTGGTGGAGTTTATGAAAGTGTAACAGCTGCCTCAATTAATAAGACGAAAATATGAACCTAGCCAGTTCCTTAAGTATCATGAAAATCTATAGTGAGAAACAAATATCAATAATTTCTGACAATGCAGACCTGAAAAGGCTGCGAAACGTCAATAAATAAATAGTGTTTCGTGCATTAACCCGTTAAAACTAGTTTTATTTAAATGTCAATAAGTCAGATAAGATTGTAACCTGCAAAGTTTCAGTTAAGGGTTTAGATTTTGTTTATATATAATAATAATAAATATTTACGACACTCACATCAATTAGCCTAGCCCCAAAGTAAGCACTATAAGGCTTGTATTATGGGATGCTAGGGTAACAGATAGAATACATATACTGTACATATATAAGTATATTTATGTAAATACATATTTAACATCCATGACTGGAGTACAAATGCTCGTATTCATCACACAAACATCTGCCCCCACCGGGATTCGAACCCGGGACCTCTCGAGTCGGCGACAGCCATGAAACCCGACGTACAAACCACTCGGCCACGGAGGTCGTCAAATAGTCGTAATATAAACAGTTGATGATAGAATGATGTTTTATTAACATATATTAATTGCAAAACTTCATCATTTATTCTTTCTGATATAATATAACAGATTCTAAAGATAGAAATTTTTGAATTAAAAAGTTGATCTTACTTAAATTGTTAATGCGTATTGCACTGAATAGAACTGAAATAAAATTTGATAGGTACAGTAATTTAGATTCACTTGTCTTATCTTATTTTTATATATGTTATAATAATAATGGTAGGCATATTGAAAAAAATAACAAATTATTGCGATAACTATATCAAACAGAATAATCATAATAGAAACTTTATTCTCCTCAACTGCAACTTTTATTTCACAGCGGAGGGAGCTGGTGTCTAATATAGGCCTGGTGTCTAATAATATATGTCTAATATGCCTGTATTACAGATTGTGGAACCTTATTTTTACTAATACAAGAGAGACAGAAAAGAAAACTAATTATATATTTTATGTTCATAAAAAAGTCGTCAAAAACAAAAGAAAAGTTAATCCCTAATAGGGACTTCTTCACCTAAGCAGACGTAATAAAATATAATCTAGATGCAAAACATTCTAAACCTTACATAAAATATAATTAAACATCTCAAATGTAACCCCCAAGTCCTTGTAGAGGACTTATTCAAATTCAAACTTCACAGATTATTATGAAGCCTGTTGGCACAAAAGCCTAGCTAAAATCTAATTCAACAGGGTGAGCCTCCCAATCTCGCGGTCTTTTGTTAACGCCTTCTTTGTTATGGCAAACGCACAGTACGTGTAATGTAATGACACGAGCAGAAGCGGCGCAATACGAGCTTGTAAGTGTAGTAAATAAAACTTCGAATTAATATAGATTGAATAATTTTAAAGATTTTAGCGACATTCAATTTTATAATCACTAAATATTAATTGTGGACAAAATATCTTAAATCGCTACTCAACAAAATAAAAAAGAAAATAGTGTTATTTTATGACTATTTTTTTATTATTCTCATAGAAAAATAACCTGAAACCCTATTTTTATTTAGAAGGATATAGTGCATTGAACAGTAAGCAGTAGAGCAGTTACTCAGTGTGTGTACACACGAGAGAAACGATGTATTTTGTGAGTCTTGAGCGGTAAAATGCTTTCCAAAATGAGTAAAAACTATATGGACTCTGGCTGGCTGGCTGTGGCTTTTTTTGCAGTGATTTTATTAAATTAAGTAACAAGACATTTAGTTTTTCCAGTAGTAAAAGACTTACACCCGGTTTCTGAAACGCATGTCATCGAAAAAATTACGTAACAAATTGTTAATCTCTATTTAAATGCACTTTGGGTTTCTCAATGAGCCAAGTGACAGTTTGTCAATGATTTGTTGTTGTCAAATCTCGTATTAATGGCCAATTGCGGTAGTTTTTGGTTTCCGGAAAGTTTTTTGTATGTTAACTGCATGTTAACGTTTTGTTGTGTTTTAATAAGTAATTGGTGAAAATTGATCAATTAACAGACTGTCAAAAGAAATTTTACTGATATTTTGGTCAGAGGATTGTTGTAGTGGTAGTAAAAAATGTTGTCAGATTTATCTGTTGACGATATATCCCTATCTAGTGACGAGGAAGATCTGGCACCAACTCGCCAGTTCCGGAAACGAATAAATCCTGTAATTCATTACAATGGTGAAGAATTTAAGGATCGCTATTCAAAATCTGTTTTCCATCAACTAATGGGAAAACTGACACACCTGGAACTTAAAACGAACAATTATTGTACACTAAAGCCTTCCTAGAATTATGGCTAACCCAACATAAAAAGAATATTTCAATTCAGTTCAGCAGTTCCTGATGTTAACGCGTTCAAACAAACAAACATCTTTATATTGCAGTTCATATCAGATTTACACTGTAATTATTTTACTTTTTATTTGCTTTAGAAGTAAATTCCAATTCTTTAACTTTTATTTCTAAATTTTTCAATTTTTTTCCAAGTCACGTTTTTTTTACACCGTCACTGCATTGGTAGACTTATTTTCTATTATTGCTTTGTACCTACATTGAAATATATATTATCAATATATTTACAAATTTTAAATGCCAAAAGCAGATCGGTTTCTTTGTATAGATTAGAAAGCTTGATTTGAACAACTGATTTGTACCTATTAGGTACTTACTTATCCACTATTGTTAAAAGCTCCCTCTTTTCTCGCTCCGTATAGTTTTTTCGTGACATATTATGTAAAAACTTTACAAATGAAAATAAATTTCAATGTTTTCGGTACACACAATCGCTTTTAATTTTCAGACTTAAATAAAAGTCACTTATAAGTTGTCAAAAGATAGAGACAAAGCTATGCGTTAGACAGAAACAAAACATGAATGATCGAATGAAAGTGACTGGTTTTAGCTAGGGTGGCCAGACTAATAAATAAATCCTGCCTTAACAGTAGATTCGTTAATTTTTCGGTAAATATCTTTTCAGAAACCCACAGTTGCTCAACAAATAGTTAATTATGACAGTCTGTCAACTAATTCAATATTTGACATGCGTTTCAGAAACCGGATGTTAATTTATCATATGAAGCTAAATTTTAAGTTCCTATTCGAAGGCAGGATAACATATGGGAGTCTCATAAGGATATACAAAATTTCCATGTTATTATTGTTTACTTCACTATCATCAGCACATTCAGTGTGTGCGAAAAGAAAATAATATTAAGTATGATTTATTCTAATTTATTAACCTTAACAAATTAGAATATATCATACTTAATATTATTTTCTATAATAACATGGAAATTTTGTATATCCTCATGAGACTCCCTTAAGTTATCCTGATCTCTATAAAATAAATAAAATAAATTTTGAAGACATTTATCGCTGAATTTTTCGACTAAATATTAAAAGAAATACTAAAAACATCAATTTTTAAAACTAAATCAATATCATATTTGTAGTCATAAACTTGTTTTTATTGTCTTAAGTAAATAAAAGCAATTTAAGTTAGTAAATAAATAAATGTTTATTTTCTTGTTACTTATTAAACTCAGAGAAAAAAATGCAATTTTCTATGCAATTTTCTATGCAATTTTCTATGCAATTTAAAGTTTTATTCTGGTAGCTACAAAAGAGAACTTTTTTAAATAGAAACATTATGGTAGAAATTTTAGGATATATTTTAAGATAATAACTTTCCGTTTCCATGGTTTGGGAACACAAAAACAATTTTAAGTTTCAAACTAAGTATGCGATCAATTTCTTATATTCGTAAATAAGAAAATTAGACGATTGGCTTTCACTTTTGATAAGCTAAAACATACATTGTGTTTATTGTTAAGTCTATGAACATGAAAATGAATGAATAGCTTATATATATATTTATTGCCGTTGTTCACTGCAAACTGAATTAAAATAGATCACAGAGAACGGCACATTGAAGAGAATTGTGACTGTATCTCACACCCATTGTTGGAAAGTGCTTTGTTACAGGGAACACAATAGTGACAGAATAGCCTATGATATGTCCCCGGTCAAGGCTTACACGTTTCACGACGGCTTACAGGTTGTGAGAATAAAATTAGCCAACAGAAAATATAACGTGAGCCCCCGTTTATGTAACGGCTATTTCAAAAGTTAAGGTTCTTTTTTCTTTACAAGTAACAATCAGAAGACAGACATTATATGAAAGATCGCCCGTTGAGAGCTCATTGTTTGGAATTTTTGGTTTTTATTTTAGGCATTAAATGCTAGATTTTAAATCTAAAGAAAATATTTACTAGAAAAAATCCACTCGGCCCAGGTCACATCCCGTCTAATGATTGGACATTTTTCTAATAAAAAGTTTCTTTGTACAAAAATAGTTTCAAAGTGTCTTGACATCATTTTCTACGTTGCGTAAAAACTACAATCACTG